AATCAATGTGTGTATTTGTACACAATTTAATTGTGTTTTATATCCGGTCATCTTAGGGAAGCATTCGGCATAACACACAATAAAGGAATGAGGGGAAAAAAAAAAATAAAAAGGAGGGTTTGCAAGACTCAAACGCTTATCAGCTCATGTCAGGGTGTAAATATCTGCACTGGTTCTAACAGTCCAGCTGGAAAAGAGATATATATGTATACACACCTTTCATATATACACACACACACACGCACATTCTAACCATTCAACAAAATAAATGTGAATTACATACAAGCATATGTAGTGAATTTTCCATGCTATTTATATACATATTTGCATATCTTCACCTTTTTTCTGCACAAGATCTTCAACAAAATTGCACTGCAACATATTAAAGGACCCTTGCAGCAAGGTGGGCTAATTCTGAAAGATCCAATTTCAGATAGATATGTAAAATTGACAAAATACAATACAATTACACACACACACACAAAAAAGTGCCTGCATCATTGCGATAATCTTCCTTTGAACATCTGCGTCACGGCTGTCCAGCAACATGCCTTCAAACCCAGATTGCTTGCCTTAACATTCCATATGTTATATTATATTACATCGTCTTAAAAAGATCTGACCCACAAGAATCTGCATGCAAAAACTCATCTCATTGAAAAGTTGGACAGTACTGATCTACATTATAGGATTCTGCTTTGTGCAAACTACTCAAATGAATACTGGTTCTTAAAAAAAAAAAAAAAAACACAAAACCCCCCACCCACGCCCCCCCAAAAAACAAAAACAAAAAACAGAAAAAGAAAAACAATGGAAAAAAAAAAAAAAAAGGGGGTGGTGGGGTGGAGATACAGCAACAGACAATATGTCTTGGTGCTAAAACATTTACCAGGCTGTTTAGTATGTTCATAATAACAAAATTACATAAGTTATCATATAACAATATGATAAATAAAATTAAAATTGAATTGATAAAATAGATTGTCTTTTTTTCCCTCTTCTTGGAATGTGCAAAATTCCTTTATAATTTGATCCCTACGAGAAATACGGCTTTTTTCCAGAAAACATTATGGAGGTCAGTGTTGCTATAAAGTCCGTAAGTAATATAACAGACTGGTTGTGTTCTGCCAACAGTGGGAATAACTGAAATTACCATAATACAAGCACTAGCCTCATTTAAAGCTGAAAGGGGAACAATATTTGTTTCAACTCATAGTGGATGTATTATTTAGCAAAGACGAAGTTGTGTTTCAGAAATACATAGAGCTATAGAAATGCAATGAGTACTGAACAGTTACCCTCTCTATGCCAGAGAGGTAAGCAGTGCATTATTCATCTGATCTGATACTTAGGTTAAACCAGGAGTGTCCCACCTTGGCCCACCAGCAGTTATTGGGTTAAATCAAACTAAAGTAGATGCAGCATGTTATATGAAGTTGCTGAGGGGTCGCTTTCGAGTCAACGTTAATTGTCCAAGTAGTGTTTTGAAATCCATCATAGGGTCCTTTCTCCCTGAGGTGCCCATCAATCTTGGCAGGTGTTCCACTGGAAGGATCATGCAGGAAAATACCGCTTTGTAACAAATAGTTCACGTACAAGGCATTACGCTGCGCATCAAGAACAGAAAGTTGAATCAATGTCTCTTCAAAATGTCCTCAATATTTAGGAGTTATCATTTACAAACTATACAGGTGTTTCAGTGCTTGGCTCTTGCATACATAGGTATTTAATGGGAGGATTGTCTGTACGTCTGCCTTAACCGAAAGAAAGCTCCGGTACATGGGTAATGATTCACTGTTAAATTATTAATTTTTTTTTTTAAAACAAACAAAAAGGTGGCTTCCCAGTCACTGTGCATATAGCAGTTTGCACTGAACAGAATGACAGGATCTGCTCCTCTGTTTGCCATCTGTGGGTCAGACAACATCTGTTCTTTATTAGTCCATCTTTGAAGTCTGAGGTCAGGATTCTCCTTCAGTGTCAATTATAGGCTGCTTTGGAGGAACGGCAAGGAGAGCTTCAGCTTCTTCGTGCATCTACAGGAAAAGTCAGAACAGGTAGCTTTAAGACAATGCTCACAAGCAAGAATGCCAACAGACAAAATTATTGTTGCAAACAACATTTCCTCAAAGCATTACAAGCTCATTATAAACAGCAACAGCTGTAACAAGGCAAAAACATCTTCACTGGCAAATTAGTCTGGTAGTTGGGTCACTGAATGGAAAAATCACATCCCTTGAGCATGTGTTTGTATATATCAATATATCCATATTTTATATCTATAATATATCTACATTTACCTCTCTACCCCTGTGCCACAGTCTAGTGTCATTACTGTGGGTTTAGGATGTTACAGTTATGGAGTGTGCATACATGTGAGTGTTTCAGAACACAGGGAGTTAGAAACATAAAATGTGATGGCAGATAAGAACCATTCGGCTTATCTAGTCTGCCCAATTGTCTAAACATATTCTACATCTAGAAGGTGTGTACCCCTCCATGTCCCGTCAACAATAAACACTAATCAACTGTAAGCTTGTCTCACTGGAAATCTGGAAAAGGTGTGTCACAAGCAGTCCAAAGGAAAATTCTGTTTTATTGTCGATATAGCTACTGGTAACATTAGACATAAAATTGGCAGTCTGTTGTGCATCTGCCTGGACTTACAAGCTGAAACTGCACATCCTGAAAGAGCTCCTGAATGAACCGCCGAGAAGGAAGTCGAAATGTGCAATGAGAAAGCAAGTGGGAAACCTCGGAATACAGGCAGATGTCATCAAATGCCTGGGGAAACTTTTCTTTAATCCTTTAAGTAGAGGGTGAAATGAATATTAGAACAGAAATTAAAACAGACTGCAAAAATGAATAATTTTCTAAGAATTAATACAGAATATTTTAATTACATATTGCTGGCAACACAGTCTTTAAAATGAACCTGTCATGCAGAAATCTTTCACAATTAGGTGGGAATATAGTAAGCCTATATGTTGTGATGGCACAAGTAAGAGTATGTAGAATAAAAGATCTATTTGCCTGAAAATTATCTTCCTCCACATGGAGTGCACTGTGTCTTTGAATGGATGTCTTAAATGATCAGAATCCCACAATTCTCAGTGCGCGAGTATCATTTCAGACCTCCAAGAATGTATTTTTTTTTTTTTTTTAATAAGCTGAGAGAATACTGGTAAACGGCCAAACTACTAGTTATATAATTTGTCATATATGCAGACACATTTTTCCACAATTTGGTTTGCACACTGTAGAAATAAAGTTTTATTCTCTTTAAAAGAAAAGGTACACATTAAATGTGTTACAAGCACCATTTAGAAAACAAACAAAATACCAAGTAGTGTAAGACCTGCATAAAATCTACACCAGTGGTTCTTGAACTAGTTACAATCATGCAAGATTGCATGCCACAAACCATTTTATCTAATTATCCTCATCTACTTCACAAAACGGTTTATAGATTTGTGACTTTTTTACCTTTATTAAATATGTAATAAATTGCTTGGGTTTGTCATGTTTCTTGAAGCTTTATTCTATTGAGAATTGGGATTAGACACAATCTCAAAATAAATATCTGCTGGCTAGGTTGCCTATTTTAGACTTCATTCCTTGAAGGATTATTTCACCCTGGCTGTCTGATTAGATTTACACCACTATGAAATAAACAGAGCTGACAGCAGCAGTTAGAGGCGATGCCTCAAATGCGGTCATGAAAACTGATTTAATTTTGCAATCTTTAAAAGAAACAAAAATAAAACAGAAAAAAAAAGTCACACAAATTCACTCAATTTCTAAACAAGCACAGACAGGCATTTTATACTACATGAGAAGTCCGTTAATGTAGGAATATAAGAGACTTTCCAGTGGAACAGTTTCCACACACAAAAAAAAAGTAAATCTCTTTTTCCTCAGGATTAGAGGCAGTGACAACAACTGGGATATCCTTTCTGGACAGGAAACGGCAGACACTTAGAATTGTAAAAAAAGCTAGGCTCCTCCTCTCTAAGGTTTAAACCAGTAACCTGCCTAAATGCCCCAGAAAATACAAAAAACAATGCATTGCCAAAACATATTTTAACCCCTTAAGGACTGGACTGTTTTTGCGATGATGTACATTTGCGACCAGGCATATTTTTACACTTTTGTGGTGTTTGTGTTTGGCTGTAATTTTCCGCTTTCTCATTTACTGTTCCCATACAAATTATATATTGTTTTTTTCAGGACAAAAGGGGCTTTCTTTACATACCATTATTTATATAATCTCATGTATTTTAATTTAAAAAAAATAAAAAAATCTGATGAAAAATTGAAAAAATACATGTTTTTTGACTTTTACTTGAAAAATCTTTTACTCATCTACAAAAGCAAATGAAAAAAACTGCTAAATAGATTCAAAATTTTGTCCTGAGTTTAAAAATACCTAGTGTTTACGTGCTTTTTTGCTTTTTTTTTGCATGTTATAGGGCTATAGGTACAAGTAGGATATTGCGGTTTCAAAACATACATTTTTTAAAATTTATCAATAGTGACATTGTAACACTATTATCTGTCATAAATCTCTGAATAACACCCCACATGTACATATTTTTTTTTAAAGTAGACAACCCAGGGTATTCAATATGGGGTATGTCCAGTCTTTTTTAGTAGCCACTTAGTCAAAAACACTGGCCAAAGTAAGCATTCATATTTGTTTGTGTGTGAAAAAAGTAAAAAAACTAAATTGAACGCAAATTTTGGCCAGTGTTTGTGACCAAGTGGTTACTAAAAATGACTGGACATACCCCATTTGCAATACCTTGGGGGTTGTCTTCTTTTGCAAATGGTATGCCATCATGGGGGTAATTCTCATTCCTGGGCTACCATACACTCTCAAAGGCAACGTAACCAACCTGGCCATTTTCAATGTAAAAATATTTGACCCATATATTTGACCTTGTAACCTTCAAAAATGCTATAAAACCTGTACATGGGGGGTACTGTTTTACTCGGGAGACATCGCTGAACACAAATATTAGTGTTTAAAAACTGGAAAACGTATCACAACAATTATATCAGTAAAAGTGCTGTTTGTGTGTGAGTGAAAAATGCAAAAAAAGTAACTTTCACTGACAATATCATCGCTGTGATATGTTTTACTGTTTTGAATCACTAATATTTGTGTTCAGCGAAGTCTCCCGAGTAAAACAGTACCCCCCATGTACAGGTTTTAGGGTGTCGTAGAACGTTACAGCGTAAAATACAGTGATAGCAAATTAAATTCTCTGGAATTTCGGCCTGGGTTGGCAGGCAGGTCCCTCAAATTGCAATCAATAAAATTACTGAATTATGTAAAAATATTACATAAATACACACGTAGAATTTAAATATATATGCATATTTATATATTTGAAGTCTACGTGTATATTTATATAATTATTTATGTAATTTTGTATATGGACATATGTATATTTCTTATTTTTATTTATTTTTATATACATAGATATATATACAAATTCATTCTAAGTGTATTTTGATATAAATATATATATTCATTTTAAAATACAGTTAGAATAAAATTTCATATAGCTATATAATTTTTTTAAATTTTTTTATTATTTAAATTTTTTTTAATTTAATTTAAATTACTTATTTATATTTTATAATATATATATATACAATATATATAGTTATTATATATATTATATATATATACACGTGTGTAATTTAATTATAAGTGTATTTTTATATTAATATAAGTACATATTAATATAAAAATACACTTAGTATGACATTATATATATATATATGATATATAGACATATTATATAGATATAATATATGTCTATATATCATATATACACATATATAAGTATTTTTTTTATTAACACTAACTTTATTTTTATTTTTTTGATTTTACACTAGCAGGGAGACTGCCTGTCAGCACAGACAGTCCCCCTGCAGGCAGCACTATGGACACCTATTGTGACCATGTGATCGCTGTGTTAAACGATCACATGGCCACAGGGGTCCTAATTCAGTGTGGGGAGACTGTCTGGGCTGCAGGCAGTCTCCCCACAACCGGAGCCACGCTGATCGCCGCCGGGGGAACGACGGCGATCAGGTAAGTAGCTCAGACCGTTAGGACGGTTCAGGACCGTCATCGGTCGGCAAGCCAAAAATTCCGATGACGGTCCTGAACCGTCCCGGGTCGGGAAGGGGTTAATAAACAGGGAGGGATAAACGTGCACTGTCTCTAATTCTAGTATTATAGGCAGTGCACATCAACTGGGATAGACAAGCAATCCCCTAAGTGTGGCAAGACATTTCACCACAGCCTGTAGCACCATGCACCTAAAACAGTATCTTTAGATGCCTGTATATCTAATGTATAGTGATTGGAGAAAATGAAGTTACTACTAAGTAGCTACTTTGCAAATTTGAGAAGCAGTAGATGAAGCCTTGAATGCCCACGAGGAAGCAATAGCCCTCGAAGAATTATCCTTTAAGTAAAGAGGAAGAGGGACATTGGACGATTTCTAGGCAAGAATTGAACTTTTTCCATGAGAAAAAACAGATATGGTGGAGAAGATGCTAAGGCTTGAAGTTCTCTCAGTCTCTTAGCAGATGTCACAGCTAACAATAATAGTTTTCCATGTAAGAATGTTAAGATTGCAGTCTACAAACAGCTCAAATAGAACTTCACATACTGCTGAAAAGAACAAATTAAGATCCCATGTAGATACCAATTCTCTGATGGTAGGAAGACGTCTGGATACTGCTCTTAAGAATCTGGAGATCAAACGTTCAGTCGCCAAGTCTCTGATCATGTAGAATCTGACAGACATCTGGACCTTTAGAAATGCTGGACGTAAACCTTTCACAAATCCAAATCGAAGGAATTTCAGAACATTTGGAATTGAAGCTGAAAGTGGATCTTCCCGGAACCAGTGGGAATTTTTCTTATTCAGAATTCTAGAGTACACTTTGCTTGTTGAATATTTTTGGCAGCAACAAGAATGTTGATAACTTCTGGACTTTTGGAACACCTTTGGAACTTAGGATCTGGCACTCAGATACTATGCTGTGAACTTGAACGTCTGCAGAAGAACTAGGATGTGTTCCATGATTTCAACGGACATCGGAAGATTCCGGTTGTATATCAGTGACAGTTTCAATAGAATTGAAAACCAGCCCTTTCAGGGCCAGAAGGGGAGAACTGCAACAATTCTAGCTAAAATGTCCTTTTGTAAATGCTTGGAATAAACACAACTGTGGGAAAAATGCAAGCCAATTGAAAATCCCAGGAAATTGCAAGGGCATCAAGAATATCTGTATTGTCCGATGTGCTGATGGAAGTAATCAGTTTTTTTTCAGTTTTGCAGATTTTCAGATTGGTATCAGGATTTGTAAATCTCACTACAATTTCCTGAAATGTCTGAATGTGAGCGAAAACACTCTTCCTACTTCCAATGGTGTCTGTTTAGAGTATCTGAGTATTTATTACTTTTATGTGTATTGCAGACAGGGAGAGCAAATGGAGCTCTGACCAGAGCATTATATTGGAGCACAACTTTAGCAGGGAGTGAGAACGAGTCCCTCACTGTCTGCTCAAATATGCTACAGCTGTAGAATTGACTGACCCTATCTAAACAGGATGTCCTTGGAGATGTGACCTAAAGTGCAGAAGAGCCAACCAAATCGCTTTGAGTTCCCCGTAATTTGATCATATTCACATATCTATGTTAAATATTGTATTTATTGTGTATTAATATTGTTTTTGTATTTTATTGTACCCTAACTGTAACAATGCAATTATTTGAGGACCCAGGACATACTTGGAAACGAGAGAAATCTCAATGTATCTTTCCTGGTAAAATATTTTATAAATAAATATCCCAAGTCATGCATCGTCCTTTGCCACCTGTTTTCCCAGATGGGATCCTCAACCAAATATTGAAGCATCTGTGGTGACTAAAAGTAAATTCTTCATCGGTAATAAAGACCTTCTTGTCAGAAATCGAGAAGTTGGCCACCAGTGGAAACTTTTTAAGGTTAATGGCCAAACTTTAATTAATTGGTCTAGAGAGGAAGGTTCTATTTCCCATGCTGCTTAAAAGACTTCATCCTTGCCCAGCTTACTACTGGAATTGCAGCTGTAAAAAGGCCTAAAAATCTCATTAGTTCCCTTATGAAGCAAATCTTCTTTCTTTGCAACTCCATATAGGATCTGAAGATTTTCGTTGTCTTCTCTACTGGAAGGAAAATCTTCATCTGGACAGAGTCTACGACTAGACCCAAAAACTGAATAGAACGCGTGGGAAACAATCAGTGGCGGATCCAGAGCCTGATCTCGGGAGGGGCACTTGTGGATTATTTAAAGAAATAATCCAGACACAATAACCACTACAGCTCAGTGTAGTGGTTATGGTGTCAATAGTGCCGGGACCCCCTCCCAGAGTAAGTAGTCAAATCGTTTAAGAACAGTTTGACAACTTACCTGAGGTCTGCTGGGAAATGGGGCTGTAGTAGGGCATAGGAGCAGTGTGTGTGTGTGTGTGTGTGTGTGTGTGTGTGAAGGTTGTAGTGTGTGAGTGAGGGCGGCAGTGTATGCCAGGGATGCAGTGTATGTGTGGGACAGTATGTGTAACAGTTACAGTGTGTTTGAGTATTGCAGTGTGAGTGTGGGCAATGTGTGTGTATGGGACGGTAGTGTAAGGGGGCAGTGTGTGTATGGGGGTAGTGTTGAGTGTGTGTGTGGGGGTAGTGTTGAGTGTGTGTGTGGGGTAGTGTTGAGTGTGTGTGTGTGTGTGTGTGTGTGTGTGGGGGGGTGTAATGCGGGGTGGCAGTGTGTGCGGGCGGCAGTGTGTGTGTGAGCAGTGTGTGCGTCTTGAGGCAGTGTGATGCGGGGGGCAGTGTGTGTGCGTCTTGAGGCGGCAGTGTGTGGAGTCTTGGGGAGGCAGTGTGTGGGGGTGGCAGTGTGTGGAGTGCGGGGGTGGCAGTGTGTGTGCGTCTTGGGGGTGGCAGTGTGTGCGTCTTGGGGTGGCAGTGTGTGCGTCTTGAGGGGTGGCAGTGTCTTGAGGCAGTGTGTGTGTGGGGCAGTGTGTGTGCGCGTGGGGGGCAGTGTGTGTGCGCGTGGGGGGCAGTGTGAGTGCGTGGGGGGCAGTGTGGAAGACCTGCTTCTATAGAATAATATCTTATTTCACTTATAGTGTTTCCGTTCTTTGGTAAGGCCTTTCTTCTGTCATCTGTTTGAGCAAATCATCAAGATGGCACTTAAATTGTCCCCAGTTCAACTGGAAGATAATAAAAGGGAATTCTTTGGAGAGAGAGGGGAAGGAAAAGTAGAAATAAGTGGCTAAACTAACCAAGGGCTAATTTTCAACAAGAGACCATAAGATAAATGCAAAAAGTCTTAACCAGCCCTCAAATAAATTGTGGTAGCACCTGGGTGTGCACATTTATACTGGATGCGCAGGACTCATTTTTCTTTATTTGCTGTCCCAATATACAATGACAAGAGATGAGAGATTGCTTTAATTCAGAGTAAATTATTGTCTTGTTCATCCTAACTATGCAACACTTACTAATTATGAGAGAAAGATATATATATATATATATATATATATATATATATATATATATATATATATATATATATATTTTACAAAATATACAATATTTTATTTACATATAGATCTATAAAAAAACAAATGTAAAACATTTCTTACGTTAAAAGCCCAGTTTCATGACCTTTTGTTCCTACCGAGCTACTTAAATTAATGACCAGTCTTATGACCTCTTTTCTCAGCAATATTCGGCACATTGGCGTATCTTCAGGAATTGACTTTCCACCTACAAAATACAGAAAAGAAAATCAAAGCATAACAGATTGTCTGTTTTACACTTGCCGTTTTACTTTACAATCCTGATAAAATACACTGCTTCTGGAAACAGCAACACTTACCTAAAACTAAGTCTGTACTTTTGGTACTGCTCGTGGAGCCCTGTGAAGCAGCATCACTACACCCTGATATCCCAGAAAACTTTGAAGTGTTAGATACCACCTCTAAGTGATTGGGAATGGTGTGCGCGCACCAATCAGAATATGGAATGTCAGGAAAGTCTGGGGGAAAAAAAAAAGGGGTAACAAAGGCTAAAATGAGCAAAATGAAATGTGAAGGGAAGATACTTGG